GCATTCGAGTAGTATGGCATGTTATGTGTAGATGGATCCCGGGAGAGTTATGGTGGTTTAGACCACTACTTGAGGTTGGTATTTTCTGTGGTTATGAGAATCCAGTCACGTGTTGCTATAGTTCTCTTGAAATGAGCTAAGTAAAAGGTTTCTACATGATCAAGTGTTTACCCTATTAGTGGTTCAGGAGTTAAGATGAAATTCTTGTACTCTTGCGCATTGGCATAATTAAGTGCAGTGAATAGCATGGGATTTGGAAGTTGAGGATCAAGGTTGCATTTTGGTGTTGACAAGAATGTCACCAGCTCGGATGAGCAGGGAAAAGGGATTCAGATGATTAGAGTAAGCTGGTATTGTCTTTAGCGTCACCCGAGATCGGTGTCCTGTGTAAGAGGCTTGCGTACTGATTGCGGATTCTTGATTTGCTTTACAGCATTGTTATGGCCGATGGTATTGAGATGCAGACTTGTTAACTGGTACAGAAGGTCACGGGAGCGTATCCCATGAGAAGATTGTATAAGTGTGACATGTAGTCACTTGATTGATTGAAGACTGAAACTAAGTATAGAGATTATGGTACTATCGGTAATGTGAAAGTTTAGGCCTGGAAGGCGCTCTATTCATTTGGTTGCGAACTGTGGATGTTTGTTCCAGATTGACGGTTGTTCTTGTATGTTAAGGGAAAAAAGGGTTATTGTGGACCCTTTGAAAGGTTACTAGCCCGTTGCGGTACGACCGAAATCGGCTTGAGGTCTGTGGATGGATCCAAATGTGAATGTGGGCTCTATATAAGGCCGGATGTGTTCATTTCAGCATACCGCTCCTTAATTATGGAGGAGTATTCGGACATTGGGTGTTATTTCGTCGTCCGCTAATTCATGTAATACTATATTGTGTCATGTGGGTTGTGAAACGGCTTGATTAAGTGCATATGTGTTGAGGTTCTGCGTAGCGATGGTGTTATGTGAGCAGGATGGCTCTCGAGATACAGATGATATATCGCACCTTAGTCGTGCTTGGGTTTTGTAGCGTATGGCGCTATCTGCCTCCCCAGGAATTGCATTATGCACTTCGCGTGCTTGTGGCCGATATTCGGGTATTTCGTATTTATGAGTATTTTAGCTCGGTAAAGTATTTTCTTATAGGTTATCATGTGTAGATCGGGTGGCACGCCGCCACGAGTATGTTGTTTGGATCGGTGGCACGCCGCCACGGGTATCATGGTTGGATCGGGTTGCACGCCATAACGGTATTATGTGTGGATCGGATTGCACGCCTCAACAGTGTGATGTTAAGTAACAGTTCCTATATCTATTGTTGTGTATTTTGCTTCTCATTTTCTGAGGAAGGTTCATAACACCTTTCGGTTGTTTCAGTTAGTTACATGGGTTGAGTAGTTCTTTCCAGAGTTCGTTTCTTTATGTATCACATTCGAGTTGTGGCTTGTTGGCTCATTGCGGCATTATATGAGATTTTTGGCAGTGTTTGAGGTGGCTTATTGTCTGGGTAGCCTATACTGGGTGAGACGAGATTATTGGACCTGGGATCAGTGTAATCGGGTTTATATGAAGTATATTAAAGAGCAATTATCGTTGCGTGGTTCAGAACGAGGTAATGGTTCTTGTCAGGAGAATAGACTCAATGATTTGTTGACTCGGCAGTTGGTTATGAGTTTCTACACATCTCTTCCATCGTGGAAGTATTGCAAGAGTTGAAACAGGACTTATATGAGTCATGAGGTGTGTTGTGAGCATCGGATTCGCGAAAATTCGGTTGTTGTTATCAGAGGATGTCATCATGGTCATGTGAGTTATGCAGTGTATCGTGTGGATTCAGCAAAGGTATGCAATCATGTATTGGTGCATCGTGTAGTGATTGATACGGTGTTCGTATGATGGGAACATGCCTGATAGAGAACTCCGGATGTTGGAATTGGGCTCTAAGGCTTATTTGACTAAGAAAAAGGGAGAATCTTCAGACTGGCTCGAGCTAGTGTGCTCAACTGAGTTGTGGTAGCACGGGTAGGTGCACGGGATGTTAAACAGTAATTTCGGACAACTCCAGCGCAGTTCTTAGCACGGTCGAGGACGAAGGTATGTTTAAGTGGGAGAGAATGTAACGATCCGACCAGTCGTTTTGAGCTCTAGCGCGTCGTTCGGCAGTTTGAGGCCATGAGCAGCTTCATTTCAGGTATTATAACTTGTACGCGTGGTCGGAATTGAATTTCGGGAAGTTCGGAATTGATTTGGAAAGAAAATTCTCACATCGGAAGCTTTAAGTTGGGAGAATTGACTAAGGTTAGATTTTTGAGTAAACGACCTTGGAATCGGGATTTGAAGGTTCCAGCAGGTTCGCATGATGATTTCGGACTTGGGCGTATGTTCGGATCGGGTTTTGGATGACCCGTGAGCGTTTCGACGCGTATTGTGGAAGTTAGCATTTTGGGAAGAACTTCATAAATTTGGGTAGAAGTGCATTTCAATGTTATCGATGTCCGTTTGGGGCTCTGAGTCTGGGAATAGCCCCGTGTGGTGATTCTGGTATTGGGAGCGCATCCGGAAGTGGATTCGGAGGTCCGTAGGTCATTTTGGAATCATTTGGCAAAAGTTAGAAATTTGAAGGTTTTTGAAAAGTTTGACCGAAAATGGACTTTTTGATATCAGGGTCCGATCCCGATTCCGGAAGTTGGAGTAAGTTCGTAATATGGAATGTGACTTGTGTGCAAAATTTGAGGTCAATCGGACGTGATTTGATAGGTTTCGGCATCGAATGTTGAAGTTTGAAGTTCTAAAGTTCATTAAGCTTGAATTGGGGTGCAATTCGTGATTTCGACGTTGTTTGATATAATTTAAGGCCACGAGCAGGTCTGCGTTATGTTTTGGAACTAGTTGGTATGATTGGATGGGGTCCCGGGGGCCTCGGGTGGATTCCGGGTGGTTAACTGATCGAATTTGAATTTGGAGAAAGGTCTGAAGCAGCTGGGCATCTGGTGTAATCGCACCTGCGCGAAAAGGTCGCAGGTGCGAGCCCGCATGTGCGGCTAGGTGATCACAGAAACGGAGCAGGTCAGCCAAAAGAAGGACCGCAGGTGCGGAGTTTTTGGTTGTATCTGCGCAAGTGCAGAAGCGAAGGGTTGAGCGCAGAAGCGGAAGAAGGCGCAGAAGCGAAAGAAGGCGCAGAAGCGGAAGGGATCTCGCACCTGCGAAGCCGCAGGTGCGGAAATAGCGCTGGGCATAATGGTTTTAAGAGCGATATTTGGCTCTTCTTCTCTCATTTCTCACTTGGTTGGGGCGATTTTGGAGAGCTTCAAAGGGAGATTTTCATTAAGCAACACAAGGTAAGTGATTCTCACTCATTATAAGTTAAATTCATGGATCCTATGAGGATTTAAGCATGAAAATTTGTAGAAAATTTGGGATTTGGAAGAAAAACCTAGAAATTGGTATTTTTGAATTTTGACCACGAATTTGGACATGGAATTGAAAATAAATTATATATTTGAGTTCGTGGGGTTATGGGTAAAGTTTATCTTCAAAAATTTTCAGAATCCGGGCACGTGGGCCCGAGGGTGATTTTTATCGACTTTTCGAACGGAGTTGGAAATTGTTATAAATTGGATTATAATGAGCATTAGAGTATATATTTATGGGTTTTCACATTTATCGACTAGTTTTGGAGCGTTCGCATTGGCTCGAGTTGTCGAAAGGGCGTGGGAGCTGGTTATGGAATTTCGGAGCGAGGTAAGTCTCATTTCTAACCTTGTAAGAGGGAATTAACCCCATAGGTGAACTAAATTAATATGTGCTTCTATTTGTGGGGGCTACGTACGCACGAGATGACGAAAGTCCGTACGTAGCTACTAACTATGCCTATGTCTGGGTAGTTCTAGGTTTATACTATGATTTGCTGACATCGTTATTTGATCTTGTTTATTACTTGCCTTGAAAGGAATTTAGATCGAGTATGCTTATTAAATGCCTTGAAAAGAGTTGAAATTGAGGATTTCGGGACTTTAAAGTTTTCATGTGGATTTCATATGTTGAAAATAATTAAGGAATATGATAATAATAATTATTTGAGAAATTCTATGTGCAACCGCGTCGCAAATATATTTTCGCGAGCGGGGTAAATTTTCACTACTCTCATGGGAGCGGGCCGTTCGCTCGGCAGGTTAAATAGATGCATCCATGGTTCGTGTCGTTCGACCCTCGGCAGTGTACAGTTTATATTTATATGTTGGTTCGTGCAGTTAGACCCTCGTCAGTGCACAGTTTAAATATTTATGTTGGATGGGGTCGTACGACCTCGGCATGACTTGCGCATGACTGAATTGTTTGCTTTGAAATTTATAATAAATGATATTGCCTCATTGGCCTGAGATAAATTGTTAAATGATGAGAAATAAATTTGGAGATTTCTTAATTTTAAAAGAATTGCTTACTTACTTCAAAATAATGAGCTTACAACCGTTTTATATAACTCATGTTTAAATCATATCATTGCCATTTCATTTATAGCCCATAGTAAGTGTCGGAGTCGACCCCTCGTCACTACTTCTTCGAGGTTAGACGGGATACTTACTGGGTACGCGTTATTTTTGTACTCATACTACACTTGCTGTACATTTTGTTGTACAGACACATGTATGTCTAGTGGCCTTGTGGCGGAGCGGCGTGGTTGATACGGGGACTTAGAGAGATGCATCTTATGTTACGATCCGCAGTCAGCAGAGTCTCCTTCAGAGTATTTGTATTTCTCTCTCTCCTGTCCAAGTTGTATTCCGGACATCTGAAGTATTTTATTTTATTTTTCCTAGTTGATGCTCGTGCACTTGTGACACCGGGTTCTGGGATGAATATAGGTTATTCAGTATTGAGATTTGTGAAAAATATTATTATTTACTCTGAATTTTTTTCACCTTCTACTATTTAATTGAAGTGATACTATGATTTCAACAACATTAAAAGAGACCTAAATTAAGTATTTAATTGTTGGCTTACCTGATAGCAGTGTCCGGCACTCTCACGACCTTTAATGAATTTTGGGTCATGACAGTTGCTGCTTGGAGACTTCATGATACACCTGCCCGCGTCTGTAGGCCTCGGAATCTCCTTCTATCCCGTACTTTATTGTTTCTTTACATCTTGGTAGACAGTGATGTATAGGAGTGTTCAATACTGTATTTAGCGCTTTTGACTTATATTTCACCGAGTTTTTGGGAGTTGTTCATGTTGAGATGCAGTTTTCATTTATATAGTTGTTGCCGTTTTGAGTTTTTAAGTTATTATTTCAGTTATTCCGCATGTTTTTAGGCTTACCTAGTCTTAGAGACTAGGTGCCGTCACGACATCCTACGGAGGAAAATTTGGATCGTGACATTATCATTCTTAACAAGCTTGATGATCTCTATTTCAGCAGCAGTTTGGCATTTGAAGCAGTTATGTTAAGTCATTGATCTTGTACAAATTATTTTGAGAAATGTATAGTTTAGTCGTCCCTAAAAATAATAACCGATAAAATATATATTTTTGAATTTTGAGTTTGCCCTTCCAATGGGCCCTTCTTCTGTGACAGTGGTCTGTCCAATGACCTACTGGAGCTTTGCATGTGAACCAACAGCCCGAAGTCCGCCAACTTTTATGAGGCAATACTTCTTTTTTAAAATATTCAACAAGATTAGGGAACAAAGAAGTAGAAGCAGCATAGTTGTAGATAGGGGTGTACAAAGGAAACCGATAAATCGTACCAACTCGATAATTCGAGACAAACCGGAAAAAAAAAACCCGATTATAGTTTGATTTGATTTAGTTTGGTGTTGGAAAAAAAACCCGACCATAATTGGTTTTGTTTGGCTTTAACTAAAGAAAGTCAAACCGAAACCAAACCAACCCGACATTACATATATAAAAATTTTAGATATATTTAATATATAAATATAATTAGTGTGATGTAATTTATAAATATTTTTTAAATATTTTTATTATTTTATCTTTTAAAGTACTATTTCAAGGTTGGACTTAGGACTTTTGAATGTTCCAATTAGTTTTATAGCCATTAATATTAGTAACTTAAATAATGCTAACAAAAGCTCAAACCAAAGTCAAATCAATATTAATGCTAACAAAAGACATTCAATTCAATACTAGTAACGACAATGTATTGAATATTGAATATCTATTTTTTGTTTTTGTAATGATTTAGATAAAAAAGCATAACCTATTTTTGTTTTTTCTTTAGCGTTTAGTCATGTAATTAATACTCCCTTATAAGTCTACTTATTTTAGCATGACTAGTACTTTTAGATTATGTTTATTTTTATTAGGGATTTTTAATTAGCAATATTTATATTAGATAATTTTATTGTCTTTATTGTTGAATATTTTAGGATAAAGCCATGACACATCTCATATTTTTGTATTATTTTCTTGGAAAATAACTTATATAGTTGTATCTTACTAGGATTAAAGAATTGTTTTGAGCACAAATTATATGTTTTGTGCTACGAAAATTTTACCGGGGGAAAAAAACAGAAAAAATCCGAGAAAAACCGAGATTGAAAACCTCAAATTTTATTGGTTTGATTTGGTCTTTAAATTTAATAACCGACACAATTGATTTAGTTTGATAATTACAAAACTCAAACCAACTCGACCTATGTACACCCCTAGTTGTAGACACAGTGATTTTTTGGTATCGGAATTATCTGTAATATATATAAGATTTAAGTTTTATTGGCAATTAAAGGATTTTTATAGCATCCATGTATTTTAACATGTTCTTGTTTTTCAGAAACAATTGGATTCAGATGAACCCGATGCTATTAGGCTGCATCCGCCTCTGATATATGAAAGGGTGAGACGATATTGGGAAATTCAAAATTTGCCATGATTTTTAACACTACCCATGTCTTAGATCCAAAGTCCACAACTGGAAAATCTGTTACGTGGGTAAGCTCACCGAGTTCAGTTCAACAGTGGAGAACCAACAGAACGTACTACCTTGAGCTCCTTTAAACTCTTGTTAGCAATACTGCTCAACTTTATACACTGCCTACCTAGAGGCGGACCTAAGATTTTTAAAACATAGGTGCACCACTAAAGAAAGAAAGGGAAAAAAAGTATTAAGTGAGAATTGATTCGTGTTCCTTTGGGTAAAGAACTCAGTATTTAACCAAGTGCAGTAGTCAACCTTTATGGAGCATTGGTGCCAACAGATAATGTTTGACTAAAATATATACATAAAATACCTAGTTTAACGAAGAGACCATGAGTTCACGTGCCCTACAAAATACCCTATAAATCCGCCCATGTGCCACCTGATCGACACGCTTCCAAACAATTACTGGTAGCGGTATATGGAGATACAAGTTTCTATTTCTGCTATATGAATGAAGCATAATTAGCAGATCCTCTGGGAATGGAGTTACAGAGAATTGAAATGGCTTCCAAGATGAAGAAAAGCAAAAAAAAAAAAAAAAACGACGACTAAAAGGTATTATGATTAGAGGGACACTCATCTATCTCCATTTTCCATGGACGTAATGGAGTATCTGACTAACAAAGAGCATGAGAAATGAAAAACATATGGGGAAATCAAATTAACACAACAGGTAACTAAACGCACATTTTTAAGAACAGAAAAACATAATTTATGAATGAAGTAAGCTCACAGCAAAAGAGAGTTCTTTGACAAGCTTAACGGTTTGCAGTGGCATACTCTGCTTAGATTGAGTCGCGCACAAATTTTGGAGCTTTCATTGACCCACGCCAATATGCCAAGTTTCTGGTTCCTTTGCTTGCCTACTATTACACACAGCCACATGAAAATAATTTTCGTATGATTCTTTGAACTCTTGATATTTGTAGCTGATCGCATGTTACGCTGAAAACAATGGCTAGATTTTCACTTACTCATCAAGGAAAACGATGGCCAGAGCTAGATATTAAGGTAACATATTTTGTTTCCTGATGAGTCACTTAAGATAGCATCTTTAACTGAAGAATCTGTAGTTCTGGACAGAGATATCATCTATTAAAAGCTGGAAAAAAACATGAATTTTTTCCTGAATTTATTTGTTGAAGAGTGAGTGAATTAAATAATCCATTTCAGGCTCTATAATGTATCACACTAACATACGACAGACAGGAGCTTGAATATCAAACAATGGTGCTCTGGAGAAAAAGGACAAAAGGACTACTCAGAAAAAAAGGAAGCTAGTGCACGAAGCATCCCGCATTCATGTAGGGCCCAGGGAAGAGCCTGATCCCAAGGGGTGTGATACAGATAGCCTACCCTAATGCAAGCATTAGTGGCTGCTTCCACGGCTCGAACATGTGATCTATAGGTCACACAATCGGATTAGTCAGCATACTTGAATATATACATAAGCTATATAAACATGAAACTAGCAAATTCTACAAGACATCAGAATCGAGCTTACAAGGATGTCCATCCAATTCATTTAGTTTTCAATTCTCACCAATCAAGCAACAAATTTCAAGCACCGAGTATCTTTGTGGATGGTCTGGCATTTGATTGAGCAGAAGCGCATCCCACATTGCACACATGTATAGTTCGCAGAGAAACCACAAACCGTGCAGAAATGACGGCGAGAGATGGAACTTGGTGGTCCCACTGCTGCTCTTGAATAGGTTGGCACATGGGGTGGCAAGGACTCCAGGTTTGCCTATTTTCATAAGTAAAATGTTGAGAGGTTAATCTATGTCACTGAAGCTGAGAAAGAAAGCATCCGCTAGCCCCGGAAATCTATACCTCATGCAAGAGCTCAAGGAATGTTTTGGGCGCTCTCTTATTCTCAAGTGCCTTAGCTTGGCGTGTTTTCCGTTTTGTGCCTTTTGGGTACTTCTTATGAAATACTGGAATAATATTTAAAAAAATTGAAAGTGAGTCAGAAAAGGTCATGATAGGAAATACGAGAAGAAAGGAATAGAACAATACAAATCCTCATCTTAAGACTGGAAGAGAAGGTTTACACAAGAAGTATGTGAAGGATGGAAAAGATAGAGAAGACAAGGATGGCAAGATAAAAATGGTTAATATGAAACTAATGTCACTATATCCTCGATTCTGGGCTATATCTTTCTGAACATAACCTAAGAAAGAGTCCTGAAAATGAAGATAATACAAGATTCCCTTTCTCTATTTCAATGGAAAGGGGTAAATCACCCATCTGATAGCCAATTATATTCTTTTCCTTATTTTTTTCCATCCCATGGTCCAGTGATCGTTAACTTTTTAAAGAGCCTAATAGTAATAGTTTTCTGAGTAGAATACTAAGCCCACAGACACAGGAAAAGAATCACATCCCACGAATCATTTCCTTCTTTTTTCTCTGGGTAAGTACTAAGCCCGCAGACAAAATAAAAGCAACATCCTTAAAACAATTTTTTTATTCCATCCTCAGCAATGCAGGCTGGTCTTCCATCAAAACGCAAAAGGAAGTGAATTATAGGACCCAGTACGAATGTGAATGAACTGTGGAAACACTCCTTACTGAGAATATAAATCGACTAAAGCCTGTGAATGTACAAACACAAATTCACACTGTACAAGTCCATATGTTCTTCTTACCACCCCTTATTGAGCAACACGAAACAACTAAATCCTGTAAATGTTAGACTTTATGCAAAGTGTTGGAAAAGATATATCTTCTTATAAACAATAAAAGGAAAGATCTATATTCTTATCAACTATTCATGATATATAATTGCTTGCATAAATGACAAAAATTTCTGTTCTCACAGCCACACTATTGCTTAGAGTATGTTTAAGTGGAAGGAATTGGAACAACAGAAGGAACCAATCAAAACTATGCCTCAACTATAAACTAGTGGGTTCAACTATATGGATACGCCATATACAATCAGCCATATCCAGGCCATATTAGTAGATGTAACACGTGCCACGTGCCTAGATGAGCACGCCCCAACCAACGAATTCAGTATGAAGATGAACTCGTCATACTTAGACTATATTTACTGCAACAACTAACCTACCACAATCAGTGGCGAGGCCACAGACAAAGAATGGGTTCAATGGAACCCACTTCGTTGGCAAATCGTACTGCCCAAATAGGGTAAAAACAATTTTTTCGTATATATACTGACAGTTGAATCCCCTTGTAGTGGCAAATGTAGTTCATAAGTTGTTTCAGGTCACAAGTTTGAATTTTTTGAATCCTTTTATTAAAATTCCTAGCTCCGCCACTGACAACAATACTCCTTCTTTATCTAAGTTACTGGGTTCCAAATTAAGAATTTGTACATACTCATTTCTCAAGACAAATACAGGATTTGGACCAAAGTTACTGGATTCAGCCGAACCCATAACATGTACATTGGCTCCGCCTCTGCCTTTATCTAAAGTTGGTAGCAACTATGTTACGGGAAACTCTGGTATGCACAGTTGGCATAACACAAGGAATAGAGAGAATAAATGCACCATAACTAAACCAAGAAATTCAACTCCAAACAAGCTAAAATTTGTGCCAGAAAAAAAAAACCTTGATCTTCATCATCAAGAGAAGCTTCATCATCATCATCAAGTGGTTGTTGTTCCACTACTGCATTATCACTTTCCAATGCATCAAGACGCGCCAGCATAGCCTAAAAATGAATAAATAGATTATTAAAAACCATAGATATATTTTTAAAAAAGTATTCCTAAATTGATGAACTCAAAATTTAAAAAAAAAAAAAAACAAAAACAAAAATTGGGATAAAACATAAATAAGTGTAATTAGCAGACCTGAGTTCTATTATCAGAACTTGCAAGAGCAGCAGCCATTTTTGGAGCAACCTTACGAGTTCGCATTGACATTCGCCTCGCTGAATTTGACATTTCTTCATCCATTTCTTCAAAGTCAGATTGAAAATTACGAAATTGATTTTTTAATCTTGTTAGTATTCGAATTTTTCTTCACTTTCCTGATTGGAATACGCAGAAAAATTCTGACTTATTTTGTAATCTTAAAGAAGTAGCCGGAGAGGAAGGTGAAAATGGCGACAAGTGACCGGCCGGCGGGAGAATTAGGGTTTAAGAAGCCTTGTTTTTTAAAGAAAAGAGTAGAAGAATTGCATAAATTTGTTGTGTGTATTTCTCTTTACAATGTAATTTAAAGAATGGAATCTAGTCTAAACAAACTTTGCCAAGTGGCACTATTTTAGTAGTCTAATCCTAACTGTTTTTGTAACAAAGAAAAAGAATATTTACAAAGAATAATCCTATTTACTATGTAAATATCTCTTTGTATCTTCTGGGCTGCTCTTATAATTTGGGCCGATGAAGTCACTGAAATTGGAAGGCCCACTTCGTATAAAACCAAGACAAAATAAAGTCCAACCCATTTATCCGTCATAGTTTGTATCGATCAGATCATAAGTCTTTTAGTTTGTGAGACTTATGGTATGAACCTTGTCTTTTCTTTAGGCGACTTAGGTTTTCATCTTCTTCTTCATCAGACCCCAAAATCCTTGAGCTTTCTTCTTCATTCTTCTTCTGAGATGAACCATGAGGAATTACTCAACATCCCCTCAAGTTGGAAGGGGCGGAAGTAACGCCCAACTTGCGAAGAGCAGAGTTATGAGCTGGTCCTAAGAGTGATTTGGTGAAAAGGTCAGGCAGCTGTGAGGAGGAAGGAACGTGTGAGAGTGAAATTAGGCCGGAAAGGTACTGTTGCCGGACAAAGTGACAGTCTAATTCCACATGCTTCGTCCTTTCGTGGAATACTGGATTCCGCGGCAATGTGAATCACCGATTGACTGTCAGAGAGAACGGGAATAGGCAGAGATGGAGAGACAGACAAATCTTCAAGAAATTGAGTGAGTCATGTCAATTCAGCAACAACCCTACGCATGGATCTATATTCCTCTTTAGCGGAAGACAAAGAAATTGAAGCCTGTTTCTTGGATTTCCATGAAATGGGTGACCTTCACAAGAAGCCCAGTCGGCATCACAAAAAGCCACAAGCTTGAGAGAGGGATCTGAGTTCAAAATCCCTTGTCCGGGATCTGAACGGAGGTATCTTAGCACTCGAATGGTTGTCGTGTAATGAGAAAGACGAGGACTTTGCATATATTGGCTGAGTTTAAGTACAGCAAAGGACAAGTCTGGTCTAGTGTGAGTGAGATAATTCAGCTTCCCAACAAGATGACGGTATACAGTACGATTGGAGATCAGAGGTCCTTCATCAGCACTTAGCTTTGAAGATGGTTCAAGAGGGGAAGAAACACAAGGTGAATTCGAGACATCAAATTCATGCAATAAGTCTAAGGTAAATTTCCTTTGACACACAATAATTCCTTGCGCTTCCCTGAGAATTTCCATCCCTAGGAAATAATGCAAATTTCCCAAATCTTTAACTTTGAATTATGTGCTAAGAAATGATTTAAGTGCTGAAATTTCTTGAGAATCATTACCACTGATAAGAATGTCATCAACATACACTGCCACAATAGAAGTTAGATTCCCAGTACGTTTAAAGAATAAGGAATAGTCATTCATAGAGGAAGAATAGCCTTTGAAACTTAATGCACCTGCAAGCCAAGCATACCACTGCCGTGAAGCTTGCTTTAAGCCATATAGAGATTTTCTGAGTAGACAAACATGGTTAGGGCTTGGGGAAGACATTCCAGAGGGAAATTTCATGTAGACTTCCTCTTGTAAATCCCCATGTAAGAAAGCATTGCTTACATCGAACTCATAGATTGGCCAGTCTTTCTTTGCTGCTACTGCCATCAAACATCTGATGGTGGTCATTTTGACCACTGGTGAGAAAGTGTCTGTATAATCCATTCCTTCCCTTTGAATGTCTCCCCTAACTACTAATCTAGCCTTGAGTCTCTCTACTGAACCATCTGATTTATGCTTTACTTTGTAAACCCATTTGCAAGGCAATTCCTTCTTTCCTTTAGGTAATAGTACTACATCCCAAGTATGGTTCTCTTGTAGAGCTGCAATTTCTGAGTCCATGGCTTTTTGCCAACCAGGATGCATAAAAGCTTGAGAATAACTAACAGGCTCTTGTATTTCTGAAATGGACTTGATGATGTGCTGATAAAGCTCTAAAAGAGTAAACATTAGGCTTAGTAGGTTGTGTTAGACAAGAATCAGTGAACTGAGTGAGAAAAATGTTATTGCAAATGAAATCCTTGAAATGGCTTGGCCATTGAGTTTCTCTAGCAGATCTTCTAGGTGCAGGTGGTGTTAAGACATGTTCATGTGAATTGATCCTAGGTGAATGAGGACTACATGAGGGATTGCTTCCAGATGAATGAACAATCTGAGGTGATTGGGAATTAACTGGAGTGACAGAAGAGGGAAAATTCTGGGTACTGCTATTGGGACTTGGTGAATTGGAATCATGAGGTGGCTGTTCACTAGAGGGAATTGGGGAGTGTGTATTTAGTGAAGGAGAAACTGGTGGAGATGTAGGGTAGGCAGTATCCATTTGAGAAGGTATGGGAAATATAGAATCTGGAAAAGAGGGAACAGAGTTAGAGACAAAAGGATACTTATCCTCAACAAAATGAACATCTCTAGATACAATAATCTTTCTGGTGTCTAACTCCAACAATTTGTATCCCTTCTGTCCTAGAGGATAACCCAAAAACACACAAGCTTTTGCTCTAGGGTCAAACTTACTTCTTCCATTAGACAAGGTAGACACATAGCATAGACAACCAAAACTTTTGAGTTGATCATAGGATGTAGGTTGGTTAAACAATACAGAAAGAGGTGTCTTTCCCTTGAGAACTTTGGAAGGTAACCTGTTAATCAAATAAGTAGATGTTAGTACACATTCTCCCCAATAAGCGATAGGAATATATGATTGAAATAATAGGGCTTTTGTAATCTCTAGGAGATGCTTGTGCTTCCTCTCAACTATTCCATTTTGTTGAGGGGTGGAAACACAACTTGTTTGATGAAGAACTCCCTGTGAAGCAAGGAAAGCAGATTCTTGACTTCCTCTCCCAAGTTCAAAAGCATTGTCTGTTCTTAGCTTTTGCACCTTGACTCCAAATTGCCTTTCAACCATGACTAAGAAATTTTTCAACAGCCCAAATGCATTGCTCTTTGTGCTTATTAGAAATGTCCAAGTTCCTCTAATTTAATCATCCACAACAGTTAAAAATATACTTATATCCATTATAAGTAGGGACCTTGTAGGGACCCCAAACATCAACATGTATTAATTCAAATGCTCTTTTTTTTTTATTTGACTTAGAGGAAATGGGGATCTAGTTTGTCTAGCTTTAGGACAAACATCACAGAAGCATGAAAATTTAGAAGGAAAAGATATAAAACTGAAGCTTTTTATTGATGAAAAAGGCAAATGCCCCAATCTAATGTGCCAAAGGTTTACATCAGAAATAGCATTTGCAGAAAAAGGAAAAGGTGCTGAAAACTGAACAGAATCGCTATGATTAAAAGGTGTAGCTACACTCTCTTTAGCACTATTCCTAGAGTTGATAGCAGTAGGTTCCAATAGGTATAATCCCTCTCTTGCTTCACCAAAAACTTGAGCACTCTTCATTAGTGAGGCCTGCAGTAAACATTGATTAGAGGAGAATGAGATGATGCAAAAAAATTGTAAACAAAACCTATTAACAGATAACAAATTGTATCTGAAAGTAGGTACATAGAGAACTTTCTCCACAACATAGTTGGGAAGAATGGATATCTTTCCTATGTGAGTGACTGTTATCCTATATGAATCAGTGAGATTAATCTGCAGTGGCACAGGGAGAGGGGTAAGTGAAATAAAAGCATTTGAATCAAAACACATGTGTTCAGAGGCCCCTGAATCTATTATCCAAGTGCTGGCATTAAAAACTAAAAAACAGGATCCAGAGTATTTCACAATTGTACCAACAACTGCATTTGCATTTACTTCTGAGTTTGAACTTCCTGAATCTGAAACTTTGACTTGCTTTATTAACTGTATCAGCTGAGAGAACTGGTCCTTAGACAAGTAATGTTCCAAAGCATCATTGTATTTGTTGTTGGCATCTCCTCCCTGTTCTTCTGAGAAGGCTCTATTGCTTCTGATAGGTCCTTGACCTATTTTCCCATTTGTGAACTCAAAGTTTTCAGGAAACCCTATAATTCTGTAGCAATCTGTCATTAAGTGTCTTGTTTTCTTACAGTAGCTACAGGTCACATTAGGATTAAACTTTGATTTCTTGGCCTTAGTAGTAGGTGGTTTTGGACTTTGATTCCCAGATCTCTGAAAACCATTCTGACTCCTTTGAAATTGAGTAGCAACCCTTTGCTTTCCATTTCTTTGTGAAAAGCTTTTTTGATTTGAAAAACTCCCTTGACTTCCTACCATGAAAGCTGAAGAATCAGAGGATATTAGGGGGTTAGCATATATCTCTCTCTGATTCTCATCTTGAAGAATGAGTGAGTAGGCATGGTTGATGTTTGGTAAAGGATTCATCATTAGGATGTTTCCTCTTGCTTGACCATAGGATTCATTCAGCCCCATGAGAAATTGAATCAACATCTCATCCTCTTGTGATTTCTCCACTAATTATTTTCCATCACAGACACAAGCACAATTACATTTGATGTTTGACTTCAAAGAATGCAGCTCATCCCATAAGCATTTGAGTTTGGTGAAATAAGTTGCCATATCATTTGTTCCTTGTGCTAATCCATGTAATTCCTTCTGTAGGTGATACAGTTTTGTACCATTGGACTGTCCAAATCTGTGTTCAAGACTCACTCACAGATCCAGTGCAGATTTTAAATAAATAACACTATCTCCAATGTCTTTGGATAGTGAATTAAGTAGCCATGAAGTAACCATGTCATTACATCTACTCCATGGTTGGTGGTCTTTTGAGGTAGCAGCAGGTGCTGGATAACTACCATTGATGAATCCCATCTTATTCTTTGCTGAGAGGGCTATCAACACAGATCTCCTCCAGCCTTGGAAACCTCTGCCATCGAAGACAGCATTTACTAGACTCATTCCAGGAGAATCGGAGGAATAAAGGAAGTAAGGGTGATTAGGGTCGAAGTTGACTCCATTTCCAGCAGTAGCTGGAACTACTGTGGTTTCAGCATCATCAGACATGATGAAACAAATGGATTAGTTGACAGAAAATCAAGAAATTAAGACTAGATTTTCCAGAATCGAGCTACTGCTCTGATACCATGAAAGAAAAGAGTAGAAGAATTGCAGAAACTTTCTGTGTGTATTTCTCTTTACAATGTAATCTATATATACAAAAGAATGGAATCTAGTCTAAACAAACTTTGCCAAGTGGCACTATTTTACTAGTCTAATCCTAACTGTTTTTGTAACAAACAAATAGAATATTTACATAGAATAATCTTATTTACTTTGTAAATATCTGTTTGTATCTTCTGGGCTGCTCTTATAATTTGGGCCAATGAAGTCACTGAAATTGGAAGGCCCACTTCGTATAAAACCAAGACAAAATAAAGTCCAGCCCATTTATCCTTCATAGTTTGTATCGATTAGATCATAAGTCTTTTAGTTTGTGTGACTTATGGTCTGAACCTTGTCTTTTCTTTAGGCGACTTAGGTTTTCATCTTCTTCTTCATCAGACCCCAAAATCCTTGAGCTTTCTTCTTCATTCTTCTTCTTCTGAGATGAACCATGAGGAATTATCTCAACAGTTTTTGGGAAGAAACAGACAGCTTGATTTTTTGAACTGAGGCAAACACATCCGGTATTGAGCTCTGTTGAACCCTGAAGTTTTCAGGAAATCACGTAAGACCCTAAATTATGCAAAATGGTATATCTGTCCCACAAACTTTGTTATATTGCTCATAAGAACTCTCATATTTTCAACTTTTACAGTTCTTTTGAACAAGGATTTAGCATTTATATTCGGAGACAGGAAACTTTCTAGAAAGTTTTTTTTTCTACATGAATTTAAAAAAGTAACTTTCTGTGGAGTAACAATTTAAATAGCTTAATATTTTGAAGATTTTAACGTGTCTTCAGAAAAATTATACTACTAAGTACTAACTACTCCTTAATTTCGGAAACAGCCATTTGAAGTTGTCATCATCGTCCTTAATATTTGTTAATGTCTCTATGGAACAACTTGAAATTTTGTGTTTAATAGGATACTCAATTCAAGATTAAGATTCATTTAGTACCTACCATATAAGTTGGGACTTCCATTGTTAAAGATACATTATTTTAACTTTTTTGTATTTGTCAATATGTGATATAATATTTGGCAAACGAAAAGAAATCACCTAGCTTTTCAAATTTTGCCGCAACTTGAACGCTAGTATCTGATGATTCTTACCCCACTTTATGGACTGCCAGGTCACACTTTTAGTTGTATCTGCAGTTATTTATAACCCACGGAAGTCATTTTCCTTCAAGAATGATTTTAGTAACCAAACACCAAAAATGACTTCTTCATGAAAAACATTTTCCAAAAAAAATGACTTTCATCTTACCATGCACCCTTTTTCTTTCTTCCAATATAAGTACTATCTAGACATGCTTAGGAAAAATTCTTCAGCCAATGGAATAAATAAACTACAGGCCTTTTCCTCCATAATTTTCATAAAATAATGCATCTTTCAGGATGTAACAATTGGGCAACACTCTGATGTCCCTTAAAAGTCATCACCTTTGCAGGAAACATCCTTAGCCAACTTTGGATGCCGACCATGTCAAGAAAAAGAGTGAGGAAGTGTCTTCTTTACCTTTAAGATGAGTGATGATAGGCTATAATTACGTATTTTAGTCGATTATTACACTCTAATTTACTGCACTTTAATTGAGTTTGAGCTTTAATCGCTAGTGTTTTGCACTAATGGTGTGTTTTATGCCTTGTAGGAGTGATTCCGAGCTATGTAGATGTTATGGAATGAATTCGAGTGATTTGGAGCTTTAAAGTTTGAGTAAAAGTTTAAGGAATTAAGCCGGGATCGTGTTTGGGGGTCAACGGATGATAGTTAGAGCGAACGAAGACTCCAGTAGGCATATTGCACACTATCTAGTAAAATAGATATAACTTTTTGCTCAAAACTCCATTTGGGCTCCACAATATATGGTTGGAAAGCTAACTCAAAGGGATACAACTTTCATGTTTTACGTTTTTCCAAATTTTAAACGGAACAGGGTAAAAAATGCGCGTCAATAGCGCGATCGCGCTCAGGTCGTGCTCGTCAGGCAGAACACTGGGCCGCTAGCGCGACCACTAGCGCGATCGCGCTAGTCAAACCCGGGAAAAATGTCCTTTTTCACATTGGAGAAGGTATAATTGTTTGGGCCCAACCCTACTTGGTACATATACATGGAAAAACGGTATTTTGAGAGAGGGAGGACGTTTTTGAGGAAAACACAAGCACAGAGCCGCCGTGGAGGCCGAGTTTCATCTTTTCTTCCACCAACTTAGTTATTTTTATGTTTCTTTATATGATTTGTTGTTTTGCTACCATGTCTATGTGGAGCTAAGCTTCACGTTCTAGGGTTGTGGTTCTTTCATGACTATTGTTATTCGGATATTGATTTTGATTTCTTAGTTTATCATGTTAGTTTATTTATTTAATCCTGCACATAATTATTTGATTGCTTGATCACCAATTGAATACTATCTACGAATCTAGAGTTGAACTCGAAAGTGGGAATTCTAGATTACATATAGGATTGAGTAGAGCAAGTTCATAAACCTGGGCATCGGGGAACGGATTCGCAATTAGGATAGACATATACCTAATTGCCTTGCCTGGTTGAAATACAGGAATTATAAATGCGTTCTTGTTGATTCTAACTCCATAGACATATAGGCGTTAGGTTAGCTTGAATAGCCGAGTAAGAACTCGACAGATTCTTATGAGCAATATTAACCCTGTCAACCAATAAACTCGATAGATTAGTTAGTCAATTCAATTGAAGAATACAATAGGAATGTTAGATAGCCCATAACCCTAGATTGTTTTCATTACATTGATATCATAAAAATCTGCTCTTCCTCTGTTTAAAGTTCATTTTTTATATTCTTTATTTAATTAGTTTCGAATCAATTACTTCTAGGTTTAATTCTTGTTTAGATAATCAGGATAGTCTAATTTAGTTAATGGTTAATCACAAGTGCTCGTGGGATCGACATCCAACTTTTAGTCACTTTATTACTTGACGACCGCGTATACTTGCGTGTGCGTTTGGGAGCAACAATGAGGAACCAAGCTAGATAAGACATCTGCTCTATTATGTTTCAACAGCACTACAATGTTTCAGCTTTTCTACAGATAACACACCAACTACTACAAGGTATAATCAGCAGACGTACAAAGACTCAAAGAGAGACATTTGTTATTCCTCTACCAGATTATAATCCTAGAAGTAGCTTGGTTTTAGATATAAAAATTCCTCCGCGAATTTTCTGATATTTTCCAGCAGACGCTGCAATAACAAACAACTGATTTCGCAAGCTAAATACACAAAATTTGCAACTTATAAGACAATATCTAAGACAAAACAGACTACTGTCGACATCTGGTTATCTGCTGACGCTAGTGATCTGTTCTTTTAGCTAATCCTCAGATATTAACAAGCGGCTGTGTCCAAGTTAACAAGTGAAAATCAACTATCTTCAATTTGTAGGATAAAAATGAAGATTATACTTGAGTAAAACCACCAAGCTGTTCGCAAGGAATGGTAGATTGACGTTTGCAGATGAACTACTTCAGAACTCTAGGAGGACTAAGACAAACATGAAAATTTTGATAAATGGTAACAATAGGTAACTTGTCCGAAGTGGAATTAGTTCATATTTCTCAGTATAAATAGATTTGCGCTACTTGTAATATGCACAAAATAAGCAAACCGGACACAGTAAACAACAACAACAACAACCCAGTGAAATCATACTAATGGGGTCTGGGGAGGGCACTGTGTACGCAAACCTTACCCCTACCTTGTGAGGATAAAGAGGTTGTTCCCGATAGACCCTCGACTCAAGGAAAGATCCAAAAAGAAACAGTAACACAAGCAGTAAAAACAGCAAGGTAAGATGGTAAGATAACCAAGGACAAAACAAACAAAAGTAGTGATAAAAATTTAGGAATGAGAAAATATGAGAATATACTAATACTACAGGTATGTACAAAAGACACACTTAACTACCTATTGACTTTCTCTCCTAATCCTCGACCTCCACAACCCCCTATCAAAGGTCATGTCCACTGACACAGTAAAAATGCACAGCAAATCTTCACCACGTAATTCTGATCAATAAATGATAGCAATGATCCATCTCATAATTGGGCCAGGAATCATCACCGTCAAAATGTTGATGGCGTCTCCAAACTTCCGCGTCATAGATTTCATCTGTCTAGAAATGCAACCCACTATTTTTACTTCTAGGAGAAACATCTCCAATGAGTCACCCTGAAAAGTATGGCTTCAAATGGACCCTCCTTTTTTAACAATGATTTGATAGTTCTGACAAATGCTGCGTGGAATTCTTTGAAGAAAGTGCTGCAAAATGATAATTGACCTCAACATAAAGGAGGAATATCTTTAATGTACAGAAAGGAAAAAGCTGCCCGTTGAGTTCTCTCATGTACACATGAAAGACTGCTTTCAATAAAGACAATAAAGGAAGTCCCATCTCATCACAGCTAGATGCCAACAAGGAGTTCTCTCTGATCAGATACCATATAACTCTATAAAACTTCAGTAAAGTTATCTAAACAAAATCAAAGTACAGAATATTGTGGACAAGGATTGGGTAGCCAGCACGATCATTCTGTGTAAAACATAGGGTTTATTTTCTGGTTAATATTGTTTAGTCGTTGACGTGAAAACAACGAAACGGAGAAAAAATGCACATAATTTACAACTTTAAGCAGAATGCTCAATGAGGGACGAAAAAAAGTTCAGTGAGAAAAGAGAAAAGAACTACCAATCACTTGCAATGATGACGTTGAATCTGTTGGAGATATCAGAGACTTTATCCTGACCCCAGTGTAGCATCAAATATCAATGGCTTCACCTCTGTACCACCAAATGAAGCAGAGTTGGCATTTATATTACGCTGTATATCACTGAATGACAAACCACCCAATTATTAGGT